TCCTCCCAGGTTGTCTGTTGTGGGGAAGGGGAGGGGAAAGGAGATTGTAAGCCGCTCTGAGACTCCCTTGGGTAGTGAAGGGTGGGGTATAAATCCAATCTCTTCTTTGGGTAGTGAAGGGTGGGGTATAAATCCAATCTCTTCTTCTTCTTCTTCTTCTTCTTCTTCTTCCTCCAGGCTAATCAATCAATCACACACACACACACACACACACACACACACACACACACTAGCAGCAGACAGTTTCCGTTAAAACAGGAAGAGTTCCGGTGAAAAGCGTCAAGAACAGAGTGTCACAAATGCAACCCAAACTCCTAGAAAAGCATTTGCTTCTGTAATGATACTACTTGCATACAGAGGGGGGAAAAAATAATGATTTCCAATGCACGAATCACACTGTGGTCGAAGAATCGGTTCCGGCAGGGCTGAAATCTTCCAGATACTCTAAGTGGACATCCAGCGTGCCATAGATGGAGCGCAGGCTGTTCAAAACCTTTTCTTGTATAAGCTCCACCTGGTCTGCGGGGCAGTAGTCATCCAAGCTGGACCTGGGAACAAAAATACGTTCCTTAAGGATCACGTGTTTTCATGAACAACAATGCAGGATTCCCACAGGATCTGCTTTTTCCCCTTGACCAAGGCAGCACGGTGTAATGTTCGCGCAGTGCCAGCCTAGGGTCTGGGAGATCCAGGTTCGAATTCCCACAGTGCCATGGAAGCCTGCTGGGCGACATTGGGCCAGTCCCTCCCTTTCAACCTAAGGCCTCGGCCTCTCTGCCCCGTTATTGGCCGTCCAGAGAAAACGGTTGGCCACGGCGTGAGACAGGATGCTGGACAAGATGGACCGCTGGTATGAACCAGCAGGGCTCTTCTGGTGTTCTTACAAGACACTCTTCCAGATATTTAGTAGGTATTGGGATTCCAGTTCAAGCGAAATTCTTTTAAAACGGTGAACTTGCTTTAAAAAAAGAACACACACCTCGAGTCTGGCTTCTTAAGCGACAGCACGTGTACATTCTAGCTCAACGGAATGTACGGATCTTAAAAGCAATGCCCAGAGTTGCAGGAATACTCCACAGAACTTGCACCGAGACCGCTGCGAGGACGCCTTGGGGGGGTGGCGTTGCGGGACACACCTCCCCCAGAGCTTACCGGGCGATTGTCAGAAGAGTGGGCTTCGGCAGGTTCCTCAAGAGATGCGTCACGGCCTCTATGAGATCCTCTATTTCTTCCTCGGTGCTGACGTGGTGAGGGATTTCCGAGTAATCGCAGGTCAGCCCGGCCTGATGGACCTGAAAGACGGTGACGCAGAGCGGTTAAAAAAAAAGCTGAACGGAGCGGCAAGGTTCAAATCCAACAGGAGTCCCCATCTGGAACCATCCACGGCTCCTCCCATTAACTGTCTTCCAGGACCAGAGAATCAGGGCACGTGACATGCACCTATACAAATGATGCAGACAGACCCCCCCGGGAACTGCGGAGAAGTACCTGAGGAATTTCACATTACCCTTTTTAACCCGTTTTGAAGCCGTTTTTGATCCGCCGTGGAGTAAACCGGTATAGGGCTGCCATTTCACACATGGCTTTCCCCTTCCGGTAGAGAGCTGGATCTGAAGCGGTTTGCCATTTCAGACGGCACCGCTTTTTCCCTGACATTCTTCGCCCGTGTGGGCGATCTCCGACTTTTTTTTGGGGGGGGGGGAACGTTCACTTTATAGCGCTATAGCACAATAACAAAACACTCCAGGCATTCCAATGGGGTTAATATAATGCTGTTCCATTATAGCGTTATCTCTCCTTATATATAATTGAGTAAGAAAATTCTATTTTGAACATTCTAAATTTGGCCCCTTTAGTGTATGGACGCTTGAACTGTCAGTCAGAAGACGCTGACTGGGTTGACTGGCTGCTTTGTGCAGTCCCGCCCAGCGTTTCAAGGTCTTTTGCATATGGAAGCTGATTGGACTAGCGTTTGTGTCTGAAATTACAAATATATTCCGGTAGGGGACCGTTTCTAAAACGGTTCTGTCTGAAATGACAGACCAGAAACCGCTTGGGAACCGTTCCTCTTCCGGAATACATCGTCTGTCTGAAATTCCTCCCTGTCAATGCATTCTTATCCCACCCTCCCTCCAGGCTCAGGGCATTCACAGAAGACATCCCCACCAAGGAACCGAGAGAACTAGTTAGCTCGGGGAACCTGTTTTGCCTTAACTGTTGCGAGTGGCAATACCTACGGATCCCCTTACAGAGACTGACCCGGTACAGGAGAATTCTCTCTGGGAAAGGGGGCTGTCAGGGGGGAGAGCCTGACCCCTTGGCCGCCCCGCCTAAGAGATCGGATCCCCTGGCCTAGATGGCCCAGGCTAGCCTGATCTTTTCAGATTTCAGAAGCTGGACAGGGTTGGCCTTGATTAGTACCCGTGTGCAATGTTCCCTCTAAGCTGTGGGGTCTTGTGAGCAAAAATTCTACTTTGTGAGCTACTGGCATTAAAGTTGTGAGCAAGAGACTTGGCTGCTGGATAAACTAGTCTGCTCTGGAGCCGTCCTTCCTGAGCCAAGACAAAAATGTGTGGGCCAGAGGCTCAAAAACTGTGAGCTAGCTCACACTAACTCAGCTTAGAGGGAACACTGCCTGTGTGGGAGACAGCCAAGGAAGCCCAGGGGGTCCCACGTGGAGGAAGTCAATGGTAAACCATCTTGGTTCGTCTCTGGCCTCAAAAACCCCATGGGCTTGGCTGCAAGCCGACAGCACTTTCCACCACCACGAGATCAGGTCTGTCACGTCTTCAGTGGCACGAGATGGACCTTGGATCTCATTCAATGACATTCTCAATTGTCAAGTTTGTTTTTACCTAGTGCCATACATAGTAACCATGGAGATGGTTCCAAGGCCACATGGAAGACAAAAATGCCATATTGGACAGTTTTCTTTGAACATCCTAAACATGGGCTGATTTCGCACTAGAGCTGCCTCGATGTTGCGCCGCCGTTTGCCCCGATACTATCGGTCAATTTCACACCCGAAGCCGCGGGGCTGCATCTGACCCGCGGCTTCGACCGATTTCCTCTGCAGTTTCGTGATCCTCAAAAAACAGGATCATGAAACTGCGGGGGGAATCGGGCGAAGCCGCGAGTCAAAATACAGCCCCGCGGCTTCAGGTGTGAAATTGACCAATAGTATCCGGGGCAAACGGTGGTGCAACATCGAGGCAGTTCTAGTGTGAAAACAGCCTTGATGTCTTTCAGCTTCCTGACACTGTGGCTCACGGATGTGGAAGACTGCGCCCTAAAGCACAGTCTATATCTTGCGTTAGGAATTCTCGAGGCAGTTGCTACCATCTCAGTTTTCACCTTCGAAGTGACGGGACTTGCTTTATTGATATGATTTCTGACACACACACCCCGCCCCTGCGACTCAGGCACAGGTCCTCCGTCTTTGAAGGATTTATTTTCAGTCGGCTCTGCTGTAGCCACCCAGCCACGGCCTCCGAACCCCTGGCCAAAATATCTGGGGCAGAGTCCGGTTGGCCGTCCATCAGCAGATACAGCTGGATGTCATCGGTATACTGGTGACAACCAATGCTCCCTCCAAGCTGTGGAATCTTTTTTTTTTGGGATCACATCCACTGTTCTGGCCCCCATTTTTATACTTGCATTGATTGTGCCAAGAGCTGATCAATGCATGGAGGTCTGGGTGGGGACGACAAACCTGATCCTGGCCCCTCCTTCAAGAATATCAAGTTTGTGAGGGACTTTGGTTCAAATCCTTGCTCAGCAATGAAGATCACAAGGGCTGCTGTTGTGTGAATCGAAAATGATATATCTCATGTACCTTGTTTTGAGTTCCTTTGGGGGGGGGGAAAGCAAGAATAAAAGTGGCAATAATTGGTAGGTCTCATTTTCCCAGATCACCTTGCTGTAGACGGTAACGTTATGTCTTTTAATTCCAGGAAAGACACTAGCAAAATGTCCCTTCTTTTTGAAATTTTGATCCAGCTACCCTGAACATAAGTCTTTGGCTGATTTCGCACTAGAGCTGCCTCGATGTTGCGCCGCCGTTTGCCCCGATACTATCGGTCAATTTCACACCCGAAGCCGCGGGGCTGCATCTGACCCGCGGCTTCGACCGATTTCCTCTGCAGTTTCGTGATCCTCAAAAAACAGGATCATGAAACTGCGGGGGGAATCGGGCGAAGCCGCGAGTCAAAATACAGCCCCGCGGCTTCAGGTGTGAAATTGACCAATAGTATCCGGGGCAAACGGTGGTGCAACATCGAGGCAGTTCTAGTGTGAAAACAGCCTTGATGTCTTTCAGCTTCCTGACACTGTGGCTCACGGATGTGGAAGACTGCGCCCTAAAGCACAGTCTATATCTTGCGTTAGGAATTCTCGAGGCAGTTGCTACCATCTCAGTTTTCACCTTCGAAGTGACGGGACTTGCTTTATTGATATGATTTCTGACACACACACCCCGCCCCTGCGACTCAGGCACAGGTCCTCCGTCTTTGAAGGATTTATTTTCAGTCGGCTCTGCTGTAGCCACCCAGCCACGGCCTCCGAACCCCTGGCCAAAATATCTGGGGCAGAGTCCGGTTGGCCGTCCATCAGCAGATACAGCTGGATGTCATCGGTATACTGGTGACAACCAATGCTCCCTCCAAGCTGTGGAATCTTTTTTTTTTTGAGCCCCACAAAGGGGATTTTTTAAATTACATTTTTATAAACACTACAAACTACAACAGAAATAGGATAAGGGACTACATCTAGGGACAAAGTAAAGATACCCTAAAAACCCAAGAGAGGAGATCTTCTAATCAGCTTACACAAACATCAAGTCTTAATCCCTTTACAAACTGAGTCAGATAGATCATTGTCTTTTAAAATTCTTAAATTCAACTGTTCAGTTTAAGACTCAAGAATTTTAAGAATCAAGCTGTGGAATCTTGTGAGCAAAAAATCCTACTTTGTGAGCTACTGGCATTAAAGTTGTGAGCGAGCAATTTGGCTCCTGCATAAATCAGTTTGCTCTGGAGCCCTCCTTCCTGAGCTGAGACAAAAAAATGTGTGAGCTGGAGGCTAAAAAACTCTGAGCCAGCTCGCACTAACTCAGCTTAGAGGGAACACAGGTGACAACTCAGCCCAAATCCCTGGACCAACTGGGCAAGGGGAGGCATATCGATGTTAAACAACCCCGGGGAGAGGATTGGCCCTGGGGGGCACCGCATACCAGAGGGTAACATAGAGAAACCCTCTCCCCAAGGGCCACCCTGTGTCCCTGACCATGGGGAAAGGAGACCAGCCACTGCAAGGAAACTTCTTTGGAAATTTTAATAAAATGAAATTAAACAAAGCTTACCAATTCATAGTTGGGGGTTACCATTCGGTTCTTCAGACTATGTACAAGTGGAAGCAGAGGTCTCATCCTGTGATCAAGCACAAACACACACACAAAAATTAGCTTCAAATGAACGCCTCGACACAAAACATTATGATGACGGCAAAGAACACTGATCATTTACAGCCAGGATCTCTTGGACCGTGCACCATTCTGCAACGGAGGGTTCCCCCTCCCAAAAAAAATATATCTGGAGAGCTACTGCAGATAGCCTAGTGTAGCAGTTAGTGTGTCGAACTAGAATCGCGGAGGCCCAGATTCAAACACCCTCTGCTGTGAAACTCACCTGGTGACCTTGAGCCAGTCACTCACTCGCAGCCTAACCTACCCCAGAGGGTTGTTGTAGCACAAAACAGACTGATGAACACCGTCCTCGGTTTGGGGGGGTAGAGCAGGATAAAAATGTAATAAATATTCCAGAAAAATCCCATGGAAGTCCATTTTCAAGGACTTGCCCTTAGCATTTAAAACTACCTCACAGACACAAGAACCTAGGCATTTCAACAAATTCAGTGGGGCAGAGGTATGACTTGGGGGGTGATTCACAAAGCATGCATATCACTTAATGTCTTGCTGCTGAAGGTGAGATCTGCCCCTACTGAAAAAACAAAAGTTGTGTTTGAGGTTGTTGTACATAGAGCCTTCAAGGTGGTGTCCCACCACCAAAGACTGCTGAATTGCAACTAAGTGCTCAAGACAATGCATCCTCCTGGACTGAATCGAGACCTAGGTTACCAATGCTGATTTCGCCATGCCTACTATCCCTCTGCATATTACACCAATCACGCTTGCTATTGTCATTCTCCTGCTATTGTCATTTGGCACCTGAAATCACTCCACTCTCCAAGATATAAGGACAGATGGACTCACATTCCAGTTGTATCTGAAGAAGTGAGCACAAATTCTGTTAGAACAAATTTCCACTGGACTCTAAATTTGTTCTACTGCTTCAAACCAACACGGATGACCACCTGGAACAAATCTGGTTAGTCTTTAAGGTGCTGCTGGGTTCTTGCTCTTTTCTACTGCCTGGACGTGTTTGTGTGTTTTCCCTTCAAACGTTCTAACGGTTAGTTTAAGCGAAAAGGAAATGTCACCCAGACACCCACTCTGAGATCCCTACCCGGGATTTAAAGCCCATCTTTCCAGAATCTCGTCAGAGTCATCGTCACAGAAATCTGCAAACGCTGCTTCCAGATCCTCCAACTGGTGGATGCGATTCTCAACGCAGTCAAGCAAATCCTCCTTTGAAAACACACATTGAAAACATCTGAACAGTGGCAGCAGACAGGAGCACAACAATACAAGATACAAGAAATCCCCTCCAAAGTGAGAGAGCATCCCCTGCGCATGCGCAGGGAACGCTCTGCGAACTCCCTGACCGCCGCCGCTGCTTGGGAGCCGGGGGGGAGAAGAGAGCAGCCGCGCGGGCCTCGCTTCGGAGCGGGGGGGGGAAGAGAGAGAGAGAGAGAGAGACTGGGGAGCCGGGGGGGGGAGAGAGAGAATAAGGCCTCGCTTCGGAACGGGGGGAAAGAGAGAGAGAGACTGGGAGCGGGGGGGGATTGGGGGGGTCAACAGTGGGATGGCTTCTAATGTCCTGGCCCCACTGGTGGACCTCCTGATGGCACTGGTATTTCTGGCCACTGTGTGACACAGAGTGTTGGACTGGATGGGCCTTTGGCCTGATCCAATATTGGCGTCTCTTATGTTCTTAACGGGTCCCATTCCGTGATTAATTGTCGTCCAGTCCAGGGGAGCACAACACAAAGAAAATTATGTCCCCCCCAACGTCTCAATGAATCTCCAGTGAAATATCAACAAGCACCCTAAAACTGTTTTTGTAACGAAACAAGATTGTTTCCCCCTGAACCACACCCACGAACCCTGATCTGGTGCGCGAGGAACCCACTCTGTTGCAAAGACGACAGACATGCACAGTTCTGACAGATCTAGACACCAACTAGAGGCATGGCAGGGCTACTTTCCCAGGTACAGAAGTCAGATCAGGAGCGGCAAGCTTTTTGCCTCGTGTGGCCTACGAAGATGTTGGTGTGCCAGAAATGAGGGTTCCCACTTGGCCAGACACCCCAAGAGTAAGAAGGGTCCCGGGGCACTCGTGGAACCCCAGGGGCTCACCTTGGTCCCCACAGGCTAAGCAAAAAAGGATGGCGCATGGCTGACTGGCAGATGTGCCCGAGTCAGAATACTTCCTTTAATGATGTCCAGAATTATATAATTTTAGTAGCTGATTCAAACACATAACATATTGATATTCTTACCAAAGATACCTCAAAGCTAAAACAATTCAAAGGAGAAAGTAAGAGAGCCAGCTTCTTTAGGAGTAGATCCGCCACTGCTTGCTTCAAAGTGGCAGCAAGCATCCCGTGTCTTAGACAGGAATTTGCAATTTCCTAGACCCCGTCCATCAAAGCCCCCCCCCCCCCAGTTTTAAAAAACCCGGGGGGGCAAAGGTCGTACATACAGGGCTCAGACTTCCCAGAATCCTCTCCACATCTTCAGATCGCACATGCTGAAAGGTATCCCACATGACTGGGCAAATCAGCACCCTGGGACCACTAACTAGATGCAAAAGCCTTCTTCATTTTGCTGGCTTAAATGCTCTCCATTGACACTATATTAATGTTTATATTAGGAGCAAACCAGTCCAGTTAGAGAAGACAAGACTGGCTCGCTCCTAATATAAATACTTTAAGTGAAACTAGGTAAAGGTAAAGGTTCCCTTTCCGTTTCACAGCTGAAGAGCCAGTGCTGTCCGAAGACGTTTCCGTGGTCATGTGGCCGGCATGACTAAACACCAAGGCGCACGGAACGCTGTTACCTTCCCACCGAAGTTGTACCTATTTAAAAGGTAAAGGTTCCCTTGCTCGAAAGCCAGTCGAATCCGACTCTAGGGTTGCGGTGCTCATCTCTGTTTCAAAGCCGAAGAGCCAGCGCTGTCCGAAGACGTTTCCGTGGTCATGTGGCCGGCATGACTAAACACCAAGGCACGGAACGCTGTTTACCTTCCCACCGAAGTGGTACCTATGTATCTACTTGCAATTTCTTGTTTTCGAACTGCTAAGTTGGCAGGAGCTGGAACTGAGACGGGAGCTCACTCCGTCATGCGGCACACTCGGGTCTTGAATTGCTGAACTACCGACCTTCCACAGCCTGCAGTATAGCGTCTTAACCACTTGAGCCACCGCAGCTCCTAAGTGAAACTAGAGGATAATAATTTGAAGAACGTATACTCTTGAGGCTTGCAGAGAGCAGTTTGCCAGCCTAATTCAGAAGGCTTTTGCATCTGTGTAGAGAACTTAAGGACTGGCTTGGTCTTATCAACCGACAGTCCCAAAACTAAGAAGAGCTTTTACTTTGGCAAGACTGAGCGTTCTTCCCTCGGCAGTTCTGGAGGGCAGATACAATAAAGTATCATACTCTAATAGAACATGCAGATGCTCACATCATACAGTCAAAACCCTTGAACATATGATTATGGAGTGCCCTCTATTCGACGAGTTGAGGTCTGATTTAGTCACCCCTTTACTTAAAGATATGGAACCGCTAAATGTGCGAGCCCAGGTGTCATGGCTACTGTCGGATACCAATGATCGTGTCATCCTCTCAGTGGCAAAATTCATAGGCGCAATAATCAAATATAAGAGAGATAATACTGAGTCAGATCTTTTAAAATATTTTCTTTGGTTATAATTTCTGCTTAAGACCGTATGAGCCGTACTAGATAGATAGATAGATAAGATAGATAGGAAGGATAGTGTTGGGAAATGAACTAATTTATGGTATTATATCTGCTACACACACTACACATGGACAGTGCACACATCTGTATACCATGAGCCAAAGAAAGCTGTTTGCATCGCCTACTGTGAAAGCCTTCACATAGGGAACGCTTGCCTGCATTTTATGTTAATGTAGCTTGCACACATTCAGCTCAAGGCATTATGGGTAGAAGAAGCACATGTTAGCCATTGTGAGCAGAGAACAACAACCAAGAGGAAGAAATCCCCCATTACTGAAAAGACTGGATGTCATGCAGGACACGGACCTGATATGCATCTGAATTGCTGTTTCCTGTCGATGGTATCTTGTCAGCCTGGTAAAGCCAAGATTCATCAGCACAACAAAGAGATGTCCTGAAGCTGAGACTTCACACATGGCCAAATGGCATTCCATGAGATAGAGTGTAGTATTTCAAATATTGGCCCAACCCATAGAATACCTGCCCCTTT